GCTCTATACCATCTCAAGCCTGCAGGCAATGCCCCGTAGCTGAGTTGTGTGTCGTCTCAAGTCGGCGTGCAAGTTGCCATTCCAAACTCTGCTAACTATGTCGCCTCCCAACCCTAAGCAAAAACATACACGTCTTCTCTAGAATATCAGAGATACTTCGTATATATGATGAATTTTAATATGTAATATCTTTATGTCAAATTTATGTTAATTTACATATACTAGAATTTTCACATGTGAGTTGCACGGGTTGCTATGCCCTACTATAGCTCTTAGTAGAAAACAATCACGATGAGGTTGTTATACTAAAGTTTCATACACTTGAACCTATATGAAGTGAGTTTTATATACCTTTATTTTATGAAATAATTCCTTAAATGGGAGTAAGACATGACTAAAGTGCAAAAGTAGGAGTCTTATCTCCCGTAACATTGAATAGGAGCAAAAAATTATGAGTTGACCAAATTACCCTTAATGAAACACTTTGGGTATATTTATTACATAAAATAGAATAATAAATAGAAGAAAATACAACATTGGACTGTTCCTCCTTGCAACAAATCTGACGCACCACCACCACCTATACTTGCCACTTCCGCCACATAATACCACCTCCAATCTCCGCCTTCACCGGACGTCACTGCCAGTCTGCCACTGCGTCTCCGTCGTTGCCACCGATATCGCCATCAATCATCTGTATTGCCTTCGGTGGCCGGCGTTGCCATCTATATTGCCGTCAGTCATCAGTGCACAGATCTCCATTGTCGCCGGTTGCTGACATTGCTGCCTCATCCACTACCGCCGCCGGAATATGTATTGCTTGCTCCAGTCATCCTTACCTCTTCCAACTTTACCACCACCTCAGATCTGGAAGCTTTAAAATACCATTTGATAACTTGAATGCTATAATAATGACATTCATCTTAGAATACATGTAAATTCATTGTCATTTGGACATTGTAATGACATTATGAATATTGTATTGGCAATTGTCAAATATTGCCATCTGTTATGGCAAAAAATGAAATTATGTGCGAAAAATAACATTTTCATCTTAAAAAATAACATTTTCATCTTAAAATAACATTATGACAAAAAAAGACATTATGTGCCAAAACAATACTTTTACAGGGAAAACATGTCATTATTAATACTATATTTACAAAGAAATAATTTTTTTTGCTTAAAAAAGGAAAATATTTTCATCTTAATACAAAAAAAAAATCACATTAGAATAGCAATTACTGTAACTTATGGTTCAATAGAGAAAACTGAAAAATTACAAAATATTGTTTGAAACCAAATCTCAAAAATTAAATTCTACGGAGTATATTGTAAAATATAAATTAAATATCAAAACAACAAAAGCTAAACAAAATTGAAAGAAAGAACAAAAAAAGCAATAAAAAAATCTAGAATAAAATAGATCTCGAAAGAAAAAAGAAAATTAACGGGGAAAAAAGTTTTTTGAAATCAAGCAGCGAAATTAACTTCACCCAACCTCAAACCAAAAGGGTCATTGCCACCGCCGGGCAAATTAAAGAAAATAAAAGGGGATGAAGAATGAAACAGAGGAGGAGAAGATAAAACATACCTAAGTGATTCCCGCCGCTCGCCGGTGCCGGAATTGGGAAGAAAACTCACCATTCAAGAGTACTGTATAACCGACGGAAATGGAGAAGTGGTAGAAAAAGCTAGATCTATAAAGTAAAAACAAACTCAAGTAGATGGGGGAGGAGGGAGATGAAAGGAGAGAGAAAGGAGAGAGATGTTCTGGTGTTGTGTGAAAACAGAGAGAAGGCGGGGGATACGGTTGTTGCGTGAGAAAAGCATATGGGTTTGACAAAAGGAAAAGTAAATCAATCAATTATGCGAAGGGTATAATTGACAAATGAAACTGATCGGTCAACAAGCACTCCTATTTTAGAATTTTGTTAATGTTTTGCTCCCATCTAGGGTAATTACTTCTATTTTATTGACTACAGATTGCATTGTACAATGAAGATGGAACTAAAAACCTCATTTAAAAGATATTTTGCCAACCTAAATGTTCCCTAATTGTAGAATTCTAGCCTATTAATTGTACACGATTTAGAGCCCAAAAAAATGCAGGCATTCACTTATCTTGAGATTGCCATGGTAATGTTGGACAAAGTTCAACTGCGTTGGAACCATTACTTTTGAAAAGTTAAAATGGTTATATATAATTTGGTGCCATCAACATACATCTTATTGCCCTTTATACATATCAAATATATCTTCCTCCCCATCTCCCTAAAACTAAACCAACAACCAGATTTTTTTTGCAGAACTCACGGCCACAACAAAAACAATCTTATCTGAACTTTTAAAATAAAAACTTGCTATAAACATAATAACACTTTGTTGCTAGTACTCCAAAGTGATATGAATTACATTGCCCCTTATAATAGAACTAATAACATTCTAAAATATACTTCTTCTGTTCTTTTTTAATTGCAACAGTTTCATTTCCACGTTTGTCAACGCACGACTTTGACCATTAATATATTTAATTCTCTTTTTATTAAAATAAAAATAAAAATCACATTCTAAAAAATTAAAGTGAGAAGATTATAATTTTTTTAAAGAAGAACTTTTTAATGCAATAGTAAATAAAATATAGTCAAAGTAGAGCACACAAATAGTGTAAAAATTCTAATGTTGAAATGATTTAAGAGTAATAATTATTCTCATTTTGCTTCTAATATATTCTGAAAAAGGGATATTATGTTACACAGCCATTTGATAAAGTCGTTCCCTTTAATGGGCCACGATCTTGGTCTCTTTCTAAAAGTGCACCCCAATCATGCCTAGAAATGATAAATATTAAATAAGTACAAAGGTCATAAACATATAATAGAAGAAATAATCTTTAATGAAATGACATGGATATTCGATGTATATAAACCCAAGTTACAAAATTGGAAAAGCACCATGCATGACCTGGCATCTAAGAGTAACCTTCTTTAAAGTTTTATCGAGGTATTCCATAGAAAAGAATCACGGGATACGTACATCAAAGAGATGTAAAGGAGGATTAATTGTAATGAGAACATATTGCCAACTGAAACAACTAAGTGTGTTTATGTCTCATATTAAAGTGGACCACATAGATTCACCTATATATATTTTAAGCTTTCAACAGTATACCATGGTTGTCATTGCAAAGAATTTGGGCATTTCATAATTGGAATATAATGCACTTCAGAAAAAATGAATTTGAGAATATGCAATAGAGTTTTAAAAGAATTCCAACAACTGTAATTACTAAATCTGAATCGAGCTGTATTATGTATTCCATGTGTAAGACTGTGATGATAATATAAGGATCAACTACTAAACACTAAGAAGGTTGAATAACTTTGTCTTTACGTTTGCATACTTTTACCTAGATTAAGAGAATCGTATAAAACCACTGCTTTGCATGAAGAATTCAACGCTTGAAAAATACAGAAAAATAGCAAAAAGGTAAATCTACATAACTAGAGATAAAACTCATATTCCAAGAGTGAATGGTGAATAACAAATCCAACTAAATTATAGTTTTAAAATCACAATCAACCCAGGATAAGATGTACGTGTTCACATTTGTATTCTAACACTGAAAAGTTAGAAGTAAACTCTATATGCATACATATGTGTGCGTTTAAATTGTGCTAACACACTTCGCATAAATACAAATTATAAATCACCATAGTTGTATAAATTAGCTCTCTTTTGATAGCTTCACTACCAATAGAAGTTTTTTTTCAATGGGATATATTATACCATTTTGGTGAGTTGTATATAAATTATTTCATATCCAAGGGGATAGTAATTTTTAGGGTATACTATGTTTTCAAAATTAGATTTTTTCTCGTGCGATGCACGAATAAACACCAATATAAAATCCATTCAAAGTAATACGACATAATATTTATTCATTGTTGGAGTGTTTTATTACACTCTCGTTCCTTGAATTGCTTTATAAATTTCCTTTTTCGTTTGTACCAAAGTAATCATCTCATTCACTTTTTGGCAAAAAATTTGTTGTTTACAACATTTCTTACACATTCTCTTTCATCTGCACAATTATCCACCACACAATTTCACTTTCTTAATTCCCACTCATTTACATTTTTACACCCGTCGTACACGAGCGAATCAAATTTATTCTCATCACTCAAGTTTGCAATTGGTTTAAGGATGTTTTCTTTTGAACTGAAATTTGGTGGTCTGGTATGGTCTGATCTGCTTAAGTTTGGTCTGGTCTGAGACTAAAAGAAAACGTTTTGGGCCTGTTTACTAACAAAGATATTTTCCAGTTTCTATTCTGTTTTCCGTTCTCCAATTTTCTGTTTTCATATTCCAGTGTTTCTATCTCCAATATATTGTTTTCATTTTTCATTTTTCCATTTTCAAATATGAAAACATGTTTATCAAAATTTTTCATCCAATTTGTGATCAACCAGAATACCAAAAGCACGATACTAGTTGAAACTGAACCTAGTACAACCAAAGTAGGGATACGAAAACTGACTTGTTCGGATCGATCTCAACGATCAATTTGACTATTTTTTTCTCTCCATTGACAACTCAACCACTCTTTAAAAACTTTCATTGAAAGTGATATCAAGAACTTTTACCCGCACGAGTAGCTCAGTTGGTTCAGTGGTGGGAAATTTGGACTAAGTGACCAATGTTCGAAACCCGCAGCGGCCGCGTGGAGGTTACAGAACCTCAAATAAGGCTGGGCCTCTGGTGCGCACGGAAAAAGTCCTACCATCATTGGACCGACTGAGTCACTGTGATCAACATCTCCCAAAAATCCTATCGAATCAGGGTATGGAGGGTTTCTGAGATGGGAGATTCCACCTTTTGCACCAAGAATTCGAGATCAATATACCGTGCCTTAGGGTTGGGGCCCTCAGAGATCGTGTGAATTCGAGATCAAACCGTTTAAGGGGGGCTGCCTAGAAACCCTCCGATTGTCGACCCTACCGAACATAAACCGCAAGTGCGATATTGTTTTTAAAACAGGCCCTCTAATTTCAATTTTCCCCTCTTCCCTCAGATCTCTTGTTTTTTGTTTATCTCCCCTCTACGCTGTTTCGGGCATTGTGTAGGCGTAACGGGTTCTGCTCCCATGGCGACTTCCTGCATCGATGATTTTGTTCATGTGGATGTAGTTGGAGCGCTGGCCGATTCCAATATTCAGTCTCAAGGTTCGGAGGAGAGCGTTGTGGCGGATAACGCGGCCAATGATGCTGTTAGTGGAGAGGGTGAGCCCCCAGGCTATGTCAGGAAGGTACTGCCTGATAAGCTGATGAAGAGCGTTGTGATGCTCAATTGCGAGTCGTACGCAGAAGGCGGCATTTGCGATGTGTATCTGCTCGGAACAGCTCACGTGTCAGCGGTATGTCTAGTTCGCATTCCTATTCTTTAAGGTTTATTTATTTGCTGCTGAGGGAGATTGATGTGGTTTCTTCTGTCCAGAACATAATAAAGTTGAGCTTGAGTAGGGTTGTGCACAATCCATTAAACCCACCGAACAGAACTGATACCAAAATATCTGTACGTACCAAATACCTAACCAAAACTTTGTTTCGGTAATTGGTGTGTACAATTATGAAAAACCAGTATTCGGTTCGATATATATATATATATATATATATATATATATATATATGTGTGTATATATAATATACACTTTGGTTTTCGGTATTCACCGAATACCGAAATATATAAAATAATATGTACGGAGTATTAAATATATTACGGAGTGTTAGTTATATTTTGGCCCAACCCGAATACCGGACTACACCTATTTATAATTAAAATTTATATATTCTCTTTAGGCCCAATCCAAATATGTGGATTGTGTATTGTGTATTTCTTAAATATGTGGATTGGATTTGTAATTTCTATATTGTGACTCATCTGGGAAGTGATATGAGACTTACAATTGTTGTTATTATTGAATTTGTACGTTTAGACCTACGTGTGCTCTTATTTTTTGGGTTTGTATACTTTGTGAAAATGTTGATATAAAAAAGGTTAATACATATTTGGCATTTTGGTTTTACCGAATACCAAACCTAACTTTTTTTGGTTTTAACTGAACCAAACCGATTTATCGCGTTTCGGTATTCGGCACAGAAATAAGAACCGAATTTTCAGTTTACCAAAATATTGGTTCGGTTCTATAATTCCGAATGAACACCCCTAAGTTGAGAATAAACATTGCTTACCTGTATGTAAATCCGTATACTAGCTTTGATACCAGTGGCATCAGTTTTTGTTTGAGTGGTTTCGTGATATTCCTGGACAGTGGCCGAAATTGAACAAATTTTGAGGAGGTATTTTTGATAAACATGTGTGTGTCTATAGATGTAGTTCAAATAAAAAAGTCATTGAATGAAATGATTTGGATTTGTGATGTAATGGATTTAAAAGTGCCAACAATATATCAAGTTGGATAAAAAATTCATTGAAATGGTTGTACATAACTAAACTTCTGCGTCATTGCAAAAAATATACAATTTGAACGTTATAGTGCACAAAAAAGTACACACTACACATATTCACATTTGTCACGGGAAACACTTTTATTAGTATAAATGTTCCCTATTTGTGTGTACACATATAGTTTATTTTTGGGGTAATTTGAGTTTGCACCCCGTTTTATTATACAAATTAGACTTTGCACCCTGTTCTAAAAAAACTTTGTATTTGCACTCCAACCCCGTATGAAAAAGGCAAAAATGCCCCTCCATTAACAATTCTGTTGGCCTTCAACATATTCCTGATTGAGCGGCATTTTTGTATTCTCATACGGGGTTGGGGTGCAAATACGAAGTTTTTTAAAAACAGGGTGCAAAGTCCAATTTAGACAATAAAATGAGATGCAAACTCAAAATACCCCTTTATTTTTTATGCTAAGTTTGTTAATTATTTCACTTATTTGAGTCGTGTGTGATATTATTTTGAATGTATTGTACATGTTTTGTGGTTTTGATTGAAAAAAGACACAATGGTTAATTAATATCAAAATAAGTTTCAATAAATTTTGGAAACATCATCAAAGTTGTCGACATTAATTGGTACAATTTTAGATAGATAGGCACATATAGTTTGTTGCTTTTTGAGTTGATATTTTTTTAGTGTATCTATTTTTTTTGTAATTCTGAACACGAATATTAAACTTGGAATAAGTTCATAGAATTTTAGGAAGCACTCTTATACAAGCATACAATAATGGGTACAAGTGTACAACATAGTACTCCGTAGTTGTTAGTTGTTAAATCTATGCGACAACCTTTTGAAAAACCTATTGTAGATAAAGAGAGAAGTATACACAAAATTCGAGATTCAAACTCTTGACCAATAGAGTAGACTTTCCTGGCATGTGGCATCTTACTAATCATGCCTCTTTTCGCTAGAAACTAAAATTGTATACATGGAGCCAAAGACTCACTATTTTTGGCTTGAGAATATGATGCAATAAAGCAAAATGGCTCACTAAACTGTCTGCGCTTCTTTGTTTTGAAGCAACAGTCAGTCCATGCAATTTTCGTCGCGATTTTTACTATGGGTCATCCAGAAATAGTCTCTTTGTGCTTTAGTACATGGATAATGTTGGGCTGTAGCCTTCGGCCCATTCAGATATGGGAGCCAAATAAACAAAGAGCAGCAGCCTGTTCTAGTTAAATGTGCAGGCTGCCGTAGTTGGGCCTGTTTCTTTGGTGGCAGTCAGGCCCAGAACCTTATTAAGTGTTTTACCCTAATTGTTTGCTTATATATTGACTCCTGTACTTGTAAACTATGACTTCTATCATTCATCATCTCAATAAGAAAGAAAACCCTAGTTGCCCTCGTGGATTAGGTCACTGGCTGAACCACGTTACATTCGTGTCTCGTTCTTCTCGTTCTTTTCTACTTTTTCAGATTCGTGCGTGTGTGAGATCTAACCGTAACAGGTAAGACTGCATACATCCGAGTTTGAAGTTTTCAATATTTTTAAGAAGTGGAAAACTGTTGTTGAATTGAAAACTAATCTGAAGGTCAAGTGCTTGAAATCTGACAATGGTGGTTAATACATTAGCACAAAGTTTATTGATTATTGTGCTGAACATGACATTCGGATGATAAAGACGGTTCTAGGCACTCCTCAACAAAACGGAGTGGCAGAAAGGATGAGCAAAACTTTGAATGAGAGGGCCAGAAGTATGAGATTTAAGGCTTCCAAAGACGTTATGGGCAACACTTATCTTATCAACCGGGGCCATCAGTACCATTGGGTTTCAAGATACCAGAGGAAAAGTGGAAAGGAGAAGCGGTAAAGTATGGGCATTTAAAGGTATTTGGATGCAGCGCGTATGATCTTATCAAAGATGGTGACAAGTTAGATGCTAAAGCCAAGAAATACACTTTCATTGGATACGGGGGAGACAACTTAGGTTATCGACTTTGGGACTTTGAAAGTAGAAAGGTAGTCAGAAGTAAACATGCTACATTCAACGAGGCTGAATTTTATAAAGACAGAAGCAGAGAAAACTCAAAGATTTAGAAAGAGCAGATGAGTTTGAAAATGATATCATCAGAAACAGAGAATTTGAAGATACTCAAGGCAGTGGGAGCATGGAGAATGATTCCAGTACTGACGAGCCTGAGGATGATCACAAAGACTCTGTTGACAGTGGGTCAGAAGATCCACTAAAGTCAGTAAACCTCCAGAAAGATTCAGTCCTTCAATCAATTATCTCCTTTTGACTGAAAATGGAGAACCAGAAAATTACTTCGAAGCAGTAAATCAGAATGATTCGTTTCAGTGGGAGCAGGCTATGAAAGAAGAAATGGATGCCTTACACAAGAACAAGACATGGGTTCTTACTAAGCTTCCACCAGGTAAGAAGGCATTTCAAAATAAATGGGTATTCAGAATCAAGGATGAACATGATGGGTCAAAACGTTACAAAGCCCGTTTAGTGGTCAAAGGTTTTCAGCAGAAAAAAAGAGTGGATTATAATGAGATTTTTTCTCTAGTGGTTAGAATGACCGCCATCAGATTGGTTCTAAGTATTGTAGCTGCAGAGGGCTTACATCTAGAGCAGCTAGATGTTAAAACAACATTTCTACATGATGATCTTGATAAGAATATCTACATGGCACAACTTAAAGGATTTCAGGTTGTTGGTAAAGAAAATCTGGTCTGCAAACTAAAATGAAGCTTATATGGTCTAAAACAAGCACCGAGGCAGTGGTATCTGAAGTTTGATAACTTCATGATAAGGACAGGTTACAGAAGATGTGAGATGGACCATTGCTGTTACGTGAAGAGGTTCATATATCATTCTACTTCTCTATGTAGATGATATGTTGATAGCTGGTGCAGATATGAAAGAGATCAGCTGGTTAAAGAAACAAATGTCTCAAGAATTTGAAATGAAAGATTTAGGTCCAGCCAAACAGATTCTAGGGATGAGCATAGTCAGAAATAAGGAGAATGGTTCTTTAACACTATCCCAGGAGAAGTACATTGGGAAAGTGTTGGAGAAATTCAAAATGAATGGTGAGAAGACTAAACCAAGAAACACGCCTTTGGGAAGTCACTTCATGCTTACCAAAGACCAGTCTCTGAGAACAGACGAAGAGAAAGCAGAAATCGCTAAAGTTCCTTTTGCATCTGCAGTTGGTAGCCTCAAGTATGCTATGGTGTGCACGAGACCGGATATTGCTCATGCAGTCGGGGTTGTTAGTCGCTTCATGTCAAAATCAGGGAGGGAACATTGGGAAGCAGTTAAATGGATACTTAGGTATTTGAAGGGTACTACAAAGATGAGGTTATGTTTCAGAGGTAAAGACGTAATTTTGAGAGGGTACTCTGATGCTGATTTGGGTGGATGCAAAGAGACATTTAAAAGCACTACGGGGTACATTTTCACAGTGGGAGGAGCTGCAGTTAGTTGGATGTCCAAACTTCAGAAAAGTGTAGCTCTTTCAACCATAGTTGTTACGGCGGGGTTTTGCGGCGCGGCGCCTCTGGACTGCCATACCGCCGTGGCGATATGGCGGCCTTTGTGGCGGCATCGTGGCGGCATCGTGGCGGTAAGTCGACATAGGCACACTAATTCATTCATAATATGTTTTACACACTAAAATGCCTACATGTAATACTTATAGCCAACACTACCAATGTTTTACATGTAATACGTATAGCCAAAATTATCAAATCCATAGTATAACATATAAAAAACAACTGAAATTTCACTATTATATGGGGAAAATTGAAATTTGTTTTCAGAAAATTGAAACAATTGAAACTTTTCTTAAAACATTAACAATACAAACTTTTCAATTGTGTTTCTGTACAACACAAGTTACACTACAACATTACACCATTCAACACTAAAATAT